GCGGGCGACCGAAGACCCAGCGGCAGGTGCCTGCCCTCCTAGGACCAACTCTCTCTCCCCAGCTCCTCCCACTTTGGCCTGGACGCAGCCTCCCAGGGTTAAAAATATTGCCCGGGGGCCGCTAAGCGGAATCAGATCGTGCTAAGTAGAGCACGCAGAGGAAACAGAGCTCCTTGGCCCCGGGGCCCTTGTAGCCAGCTCCGGAGCACGGTCCCGCTCACACTGGGCCCAGCAGCATCCTCCCTCCCCAGAAGGCAAGTGGGGCCCACGGGGTGGCAGCGGGCATTGGTCCTTTGAAGTTGTTTCTGCCAAGCAGTCGTGCCAGCCTTCTCCTTACCCAGGGGACCTTTGGCATCACCGCTGGCTTCCCAGAGGTCTCCTACGTGCAGCTGAAAGTTTCTTGCTGCAGGAATCAGTACTAACAGGGCAGACATGGAGGACTGGCTTTGTTAGGAACATAAGCGCCTTTCTTCTTTTTGGAAAGAGAAAGTCACTGCTGTGTCTGTTAGAGAGGGTCTGTACCAGGCGCAGAGTCTGTGAGTGCCAGTCTGACCCAGGAGAGTGGGGAGAAAGGCTTTACTGCCAGTCTCTTTGGACTCTGGCTTTACTTTCAGATGACAATTAGAGGCCAGTGTGTTCATCAGAGACCAGGAGGACATGACCAAGGGGCCTGGGCGGGCACCTCCTGGAGGCAGGCCCTCTGGGAAGCTGGTTGTCCTCAGGAAGTTGCGCATGGGCCCTGGAGTGAGAACTGGGGTTCCCTCATCCTGTCCCCGTGTTGTAGCATCAGCCTAGGGAGAGCTGCCACCAGGACCAGGCAGGGGCAGCTCCAGACGTGCTGCTTCCTTGTCCTTTCACATCTCAGCCAAGAGACGGAAATCATAGCTGGCCAGCATCCCCGGGCAGGGCTGGGGTTGAGTGCTGAAAAGCTTCTTATTAGTGTCGGGCAGAGGTGTTCCTTGGGAGCAGCCCTCAGGTGCCCACTGGGGCATGCAGTGGAAAGTCCCTTGAATGTTGGAGCTACAGAGGAATATCCATCCTGCCAGGTGCACGAGGAAGCCAGCATGAAGCTGAAAAAGCAGGTGACAGTGTGCGGCGCCGCTATTTTCTGCGTGGGGGTCTTCTCGCTCTACCTCATGCTGGACCGGGTGCAGCACGACCCCACCCGACACCAGAGCGGTGGGAACTTCCCCCGGGTGAGTCATCCCTGGCTGCCCATCGATCTCTTCATCCCCAAGTCATGTGGGCTCAGCTTGCCACCTCAGCTGGAGAGTCATGTCAGCCCAGGACAAGACCGTGCCTTCTCAGTAGGCAGGTTTTCTAGAAAGCCAAGGCTAAAAGCAGTGATGGCATGAAGGAAGGAAGGGAAATGGCTGTGTGTGTGTCTGCTCCATCTTCCTGTGTTCCGGGCAGACAGTGCTAATTGATTGCAGCACTCATTCCCACTCAGTCCTCAGCACAGAGCTCCAGACAGGCGACACCGACTGGGAAATAGGTTATGGGAGATGAAATCTCTGCCGTGCGGGAGCCAGAGTGATGGCACGTCCCATCCGAGTGGATTGAGGTGCTCAGCTCCCTAATCTGACCAGAGGGAAGGCCATGGAGCTTCGTGGTCCAGCTTCGACTGAGACAAAAGACTCATGGCCAGGCCTCCGGTGGACCCCGAGCAGAGGCCTTCCCCGTGACACAGGGAGCTGGGGGTGATTGCTTTCTGGTTTTTTGGCAGAGCCAAATTTCTGTGCTGCAGAACCGCATCGAGCAGCTGGAGCAGCTGTTGGAGGAGAACCATGAGATCATCAGCCACATCAAGGACTCCGTGCTGGAGCTGACGGCCAACGTGGAGGGCCCGCCCGCCCTGCTGCCCTACTACACGGCCAATGGCTCCTGGGTGGTGCCGCCGGAGCCCCGGCCCAGCTTCTTTTCCGTCTCCCCCCAAGACTGCCAGTTTGCTTTGGGGGGCCGGGGCCAGAAGCCAGAGCTACAGGTAAGAGTCAGAGCAGCAGGGACTTGCAGGGGCTGCGGACGGGACCCTGAGCTGCTCTCCTGCCTGGCAGGTGCTGGCCGTGTCAGAGTGGCTGCCGTTTGACAATGCGGAGGGCGGCGTGTGGAGGCAAGGCTTCGACATCACCTACAGCCCGAACGACTGGGATGCCGAAGACCTGCAGGTGTTTGTGGTGCCTCACTCTCACAATGACCCAGGTGAGGGCCCTGCAGAGCTCTGCACCTGGGCAAGGGGTGGCCATAAGGGAGAGACAGTTGGAGAAGGCGGTCGTGTCCTCAGGGGACCCTGTGCTGGCTCTCCAGGCTGGATCAAGACCTTCGACAAATATTACACGGAGCAGACGCAGCACATCCTCAACAGCATGGTGTCCAAGTTGCAGGAGGACTCCCGGCGGCGCTTCCTCTGGGCAGAAGTCTCCTTCTTCGCCAAGTGGTGGGACAACATCAATGCCCAGAAGAAGGCGGCAGTGCGAAGGCCAGTGCCAGGCGGGGAGGCTATGGGGGGTGCTGGCGGGCCCCGGGCTCAGTGAGGAGGACACGCTGTCAGCTGCAGGTGCCACCAGGGCAGAGAGAAGAGGCACAGGGACCCCTGGCAGAGGCAAGGGCATGACTGTTGCAGGTCACTAGCATCACTAGCATCAGGAGAAACTGAAGGCGTGCGAGCATCAGCGAAGAGAAGGCACAGGCCCTACCTGAAAGAAGACGCCCCCGGATAAGGCAGGCTAGGATAGCGTGGAAGTGGCCGGGGGGAAGCAGGGCACGTGTTCATTTCTTGGTCCTGGGTTCGGGTGAGCTGACTCAGTGAGGCCTGTGCACACAAGCCCTGGGCTTCTGGCGGGCAGGATGGAAGAGACAATCCCACCCGGGGCTGAATGTGAGTCCTCAACTGCAGGCTGGTGGGAAATGGGCAGCTGGAGATCGCGACAGGAGGCTGGGTCATGCCCGACGAGGCCAACTCTCACTACTTTGCGCTGATTGACCAGCTCATCGAGGGACATCAGTGGCTAGAGAGAAACCTGGGTGAGTCCAGGCCTGGGGTGAGGCTCTGTCCCTATGGTTGGACCCAGCATGCTGTGGCACAGGGATTGGCGGGGGGCAGTTCCTTTCGAGGCTGATTCCCCTGACCGTGTGTGCCTGGTGGGTGGCATCCGTTCTCTGCCTGCCAAGGTAGGAACTAAGGGCCCAATCCCTGGGAGGCCAAGAGTCCTCAGGCCTCTGGCCTGCATGCATTGCTCTGCAGGTGTGACCCCACGCTCGGGCTGGGCAGTGGACCCCTTTGGATACAGCTCCACCATGCCTTACCTGCTGCGCCGTGCCAACCTGACCAGCATGCTGATTCAGAGGGTGCATTACGCCATCAAGAAGTACTTTGCTGCCACCCGCAGCCTGGAGTTCATGTGGAGGCAGACATGGGGTAAGGCCAGGTAGGGCTGAGGGAGCCAAGGCACATAACCTTCACCGGGGATGAGGGGGACATCAGAAATGAGACCCCCATGGGCGCTGGTGAGGATGTCAGCCTCTAGCCCCATGGGTCCGGCTGACTTCCAAGGGCCTAATCGTGCCCTGTGGGCACTTCCCCAGAAGGAGCCATGTCCTGTCCCTTGACCTGCATGTCCTCTGAGCCTTGTGTCTATCAGGGCTGCTTTAACCAAGCCAGTCCCTGCCCTCTCAACATCCTGGTCCCCAGCCACAGGGACCACCTGCCATGGTGACTGTGGCATGTCTTCCCCAGACTCAGACGCCAGCACGGACATCTTCTGCCACATGATGCCCTTCTACAGCTATGACATCCCCCACACCTGCGGCCCGGACCCCAAGATCTGCTGCCAGTTCGATTTCAAACGCCTGCCCGGGGGACGTATCAACTGCCCGTGGAAGGTGCCGCCCCGGGCCATCACAGAGTCTAACGTGGCAGAGAGGTATCTGCTTCAACCCTGGCTGTTCGGGCTCACAGAGGAGTCCCGAGGTCTGGCCTCTGTTCTGGGCACTGCCACGTGGAGCTGTACGACGCAGGCCACATGAGGAAAACATGGTGGATGCAGATGGTAGCCTGGAAAACTGGCATGGGCCCCGGGAGCCCCTTCTTCCAGGATGCTTTTAGTTTCCCAGATGAGCTTTGCAAATGTTCTGACAGACTGTCAGAGCCAGTTGACTAACGGAGGTGAAGGATTCTCGGATTAAGTGTATTTGTGCCAGCCGGCTGTGTGGTGGGTAAGGCCGTGGATCCTACATGGCCGACTGCACAGCTGAGTCCTGGACCTGACGGCTTGAGAAGCTTGCTGGGCACATGGGCTTGCATGCCCAGAATCCGAAGGGGAGAAATGGGAGAGAAAGGATCGTGGTGTGTCCATTCCCCATGGGGGATGCTTTCTCATTTTCTCTCTCTCTGCCTCTCTCCTACAAGTGCATGCACCTCCTGGGAGATTTTTTTTTTTTTTTAAAGTTAATTTCTTACAAACCTCAGGCTAACATGCCTTTGTCTAGCTCAGGCAGTCCGACTTGACTCTAAATTGACCAGGATCCTCAGTGTTCACTGGACCCCAAATCCCACTTCAGATCCACAGCCCCACCAAACTGCTTCTACCCCTGCAGCCTTGGAGTCCCCTTACAGCCACTGAGAAAATAAGCCCGGTCTCTTTGAGAAAATCATGTAGGGACCCCTGAAAATGTCACTATTGTCGGGCCAGTCCACGGCCTGAGGGTTAAGGCAGCTGGAGCCCATATGGCCTACCACGAAGTTCAAGTTCTTGACCTGGAAACAACCAGGCCCGAGTGCCTGCATGTCCAAAATCCTGAAAAGAGGAAGAGGAAGGAAAAGAGATTATGGTGTGACCACACCCCATGGTGGTGTTTTCGCGCTTTCCCTCTCTGTCTCTCTGACCAAAAAAAAAAAGTCACTGTTGTTGAAATCAAGCCTCTCCTGGAAAATGCTTAAGAGTTGCCTAAACAACCATTTAGCCAGAACCTTAAGAACATAACAAGTTGAACTGGTTTTTTTCCTTGCAATGCTCTGATTTCCATGATGTCCAAGAGGTGAAACCTGACCAAAACGGAGAGAAAATAGTCTTTTGTTCACAGAAATATAAATGCAGAGTCCAGGCAAGAATCTAGGGCTGTTGAGATCACGTGCTCACTGGAGAGAGAGAGAGAAAAAAAAAATGAGAAAGCGCTCCCCATGGGGGATGGTTGAACTGCAACCCACGCCCCCTTCCCCATTCTCCTCTGGGGATCTGGGGCATGCACACACAGGCACCCAAATGTGTTTTTCCAGACCACCTGGTCTAGGACTTGAACCACAGAATTGGCCGTGTGAGTCCCAGCACCTTAACCACCACACAACAGGCTGGCCTGTGAGCCCATCTTCGCTATAGTCCAAGGGCAGTCCTGGGGAAGGACTAATCTGCCAGAGGGCCCACGTGGGGTCTGAGAATGAAAGCCGTCAGTTGCTGCCTAGGATTCGGAAGAACTTTCCTGTTAGCACCGTCCAGAGAATACTGGGTTCCACTGGGACAGATTTCCTGTCCCTGGAGATCTGCCAGGCACAACCCGACTGCCCCTTGATTGGGTATCTCGAGGGGCTGCCTTCAGGGTGGCTCTGCTTGTGAATTGACCTTTGAGCCCTGAGGCTTGTGGTGGGCCCACATCCCATCTATCCTTTTCCTTCTCCTTCTCCTTCTCCTTCTCCTTCCCCTTCCCTTCCCCCTTCCCCTCCCCTTCCCTTCCCAGGGCAGCCCTCCTCCTAGACCAGTACCGCAAGAAGTCCCAGCTATTCCGAAGCAACGTGCTCCTGGTGCCGCTTGGTGACGACTTCCGCTATGATAAGCCCCAGGAGTGGGATGCCCAGTTCTTCAACTACCAGCGGCTCTTTGACTTCCTCAACAGCAAGCCCGACCTCCACGTGCAGGTGTGAGGGGTACGTGGCTGGGGAGGGGGCACCCCCTGCAGTGCTGCGGCCCAGCCCTTGTGGGTGGGGGGTGAGGGACCCTGCCCCCACGTCACTGGCTGCAAAAAAAGCTTTATTTCAAACTCTTAGGCGGCCCCCCTCTTACATAGGCGTCCGTCCCCAGGGTCCTAAGGGTAGGTGGATGTTGGCTGCCCTCTGCTGAGGCCAAACCCTGCCCCTGCCCTGGCTGTAGCACTGTGGGTTGGAATCCCCAGAAGGTTGGGGACCTGACAGGAGCTGGTCTTTGGGCTCCCCGCAGGTCCAGTTTGGCACACTCTCCGACTACTTTGACGCTCTGTACAAGAGGACAGGAGTGGAGCCTGGTGTTCGGCCCCCCGGGTTTCCCGTGCTGACCGGGGATTTCTTCTCCTATGCTGACCGCGAGGATCACTACTGGACAGGCTATTACACTTCCCGGCCTTTCTACAAGAGCTTGGACCGTGTGTTGGAAGCCCACCTGCGGTGAGACCCCCAGCCCCTTCCAGGCTGGGGAGAGTAGAGCTAGCCTTTAGTGTTTCATAATGGCTGGATTGGCTCAGGAGGGGATGGACCAGCAGGGAGGCCAGCCCCGTAGCCTAGTGGTTAAGAGAGCCTGATCCCATATGACCAGCTGAGGTTCAAACCCTGGCCCTGGTGGCTTAGAAACATGCCGGGCATGTGCGCCTGTCTGCCTAAAATTGTGTCAGGATGGAGAAATGAAAGAAAAAAATGGCAGCGTGTCTGCCCCATTGGGGAGTGCTTTGTCCTCTGTCTCCCTCCCTCTCTCTCTCTGGCTAAGGCTTATGCCCTCTAGTAAAAAAAAAAAAAAAAAAAACGAAAGAAAAGAAAAGAAAATCAGTGCAGGACTAGCGATGGTGTAATGGTAATGTTACTAATGTTACTGGACTCCCACATGGCCAATTGTAGTTCAAGTCCCAGAATCGGCGACTTGAAGCTCAGGCTGGACGCATGTGCATACATGCCACAATCCTGAGGGGAGAATGGAGGAGGAGGGATTGCAGTATGGCCATTCCCCCGGGGGGTGATTTCTCACGCTGTCTCTGCAGTGGGCAGCAAAAATCTCTCTTAAAAAAGTAACTGAGATAAATAAACGAAGTGATGGGAGCAGTGGTGAGGCTTGCAGCACATGGGTGGGGCCTGGGTCTCGGGTAGGCAGCTGACTTTTCTCTCTGGGCAGGGGGGCAGAGATTCTGTACAGCCTGGCAGTGGCTCACGCCCGTCGCTCTGGACTGGCCCCCCAGTACCCGCTCTCGGACTTCGCCCTTCTTACTGAAGCACGGCGCACACTGGGGCTCTTCCAGCATCACGACGCCATCACGGGCACCGCCAAGGAGGCTGTTGTGGTCGACTACGGGGTCAGGTCAGCTCTATGTTCCCCACCTTGCCTGGTGTCCCAAAGAAGGGGGCTGGGTAGCCAGAGGGCAGGCCTGCTGAGGGCCGTCCTGCTGGCATGGTGACAGCCTCTCGCAGCTCATCCGTCCCTGTCCTGCCCCCACCCCTAGGCTGCTGCGCTCCCTCGTCAGCCTGAAGCAGGTCATCATTAATGCAGCTCACTACTTGATGCTGGGGGACAAGGAGACCTACCACTTTGACCCGGAGGCCCCCTTTCTGCAAATGGTAAGCCCCTAAGTCTGCTGGGGTGGCCATCCAGTGCACAAGGGTCACATCCACAGAACTGCTGTGTGGGGGTGTCACTCCTCTTCCCCTTCCCCATCTGAGAGCACCACACCCAGCCAGGCTGGCCGTCCACACCCAGGACAGGCAGGGCAGCGTAGGGGCGGGATGCTGAGGCAGACTGAACCCACCATGGTCCTCTGCCCACTCGATTCCAGGACGAGACCCGCTTAAGTCAAGATGCCCTACCTGAACGCACAGTGATCCAGCTGGACTCTGCACCCAGGTAAGCAGGCCAGGCGAGTGCAGAGGCGAGGCCCCTCTGTCCCCCCGCTACGGTGCCTTGCCCTGGCTACTATGCCTACTCCCGCTACCTGCTCGTGTCAACCTCTTACTTCCACCTACAGGTTTGTGGTGCTCTTCAACCCGCTGGAACAGGAGCGCTTCAGCGTGGTATCCCTGCTGGTCAACTCACCCCGCGTGCGCGTTTTTTCAGAGGAGGGTCAGCCCCTGGCTGTGCAGATCAGTGCACACTGGAGCTCCGCCACCAGCTTGGTCCCAGATGTCTACCAGGTGAGGCAGGTGCCACCCCGGGCCAGTCGCTGGCCTCTCCCCAGGGCCTCGCCCTGCCTATCAACCCCAGTCTCCCACCGCCCTGGCCTTGACCCTGCTTACTCCCAGGTTGGGGACAGGTGTCTCGGGGAAGGGGACTGCCCAGAGGACAGTCGTTCTTGGGACTTGAGCATGTTCGTGAAAAGAAAGTGAAGGTTGGTGTAGTAATAATGGAAGTAAAAGTAGTTTCAGGGTCAGCAAGTGGCATGGAGGTTAAAGCATTAGATCCTACGTGGCCAGCTGCATGGTTCAAGCCTGGTACCTGATGGCTGGAAAATCACACCATGTTAGGACCAGGCGGAGCGGTGGTTAAGGCATTGGACTCCTACATGGCCAACCGTGGTTCGTGTCCTGAACCTGGCGGTTTGCTTTCTCACATTTCTCTGTCTCTGGTGAGCATGTGTGCCCTATAGCAAATTTAAAAATAGTAAGAAGAAAGAAGGAATAAGAAAATCACACCAGGTGCATGTGCATGCATACCTAAAATCTTGAGAGAAGACTGGAGGAGAAAGGATTGTGGCATGGGTGATTTCTCACTTGTCCTCTCTCTGTCTCTCTGTTTATCTCTCTCTGTCAACACATACAACCTATAGAAAAAGCCTAATAAAAAGCAGCAGTTCTGGGAACAGTAGTTAGTGTAATGGCTATGTCGCTGGACTCCCATGTAGCCGACTGCGGTTTGAGTCCTGGACCCAGTGGCTTAAAATCACGCCGGGCACATGTGCGTGCGTGCCCAAGATCCCGAGAGGAGAATGGAGGAGAAGGGATTGTGGCGTGGCATCCCCCACAATCTCTCTTTCTATCTCTCTGTCTGGCGAGCACACTCCCCTATAGCAAAAAACTGTCAAAAAAAAAAAAAGGCAGCAGTTCTAAGACCATATCATGTATTCATTGCATAAATACTTATCAAAAGCTTACTGTAGTTTTCATAGGTTTCCAAATATTATTTGAGACAGAGTCTGACAAAGAGCTGGTCACATCACCTCTACCTCGAGGGCAGGTACAGGAGGAGACTCAAGCTCTCAAGAGGTGAATACTCAGGACCAGAGTCCCAGGCCTGTACCCAAAACTGATGCCCTACTTCCTCGCCCTCCTGTGCCTGCAGGTGTCGGTGCCCATCCACCTGCCAGCCCTGGGCCTGGGCGTGCTGCAGCTGCAGCTGGGCCTGGACGGACACCGCACACTGCCCTCCTCCGTGCGTGTCTACCTGCATGGCCGGCAGCTCCCCGTCAGCAGGCATGAGGCATTCCCAGTCCGAGTCATCGATTCAGACAGCAGTGACTTCGCCCTCAGGAACCGCTACATGCAGGTCTGGTTCTCAGGCCTTACTGGGCTCCTCAAGGTAAAGGGCCAGGGGCGGTGGGGCAGGCCGGCGGGCCGGCGGGAGGGTCGGGCCCAGGGGTGGTGTGTGTGTTGGTGGGGGTGTAGAGCTGCCTGCCAGCTCCCCATGTGTGCTGCCACCTGACTGATGGCAGCCCCGGGCTTGGGCCATATTGCCCCCCAGCCAATGGCGCAGGGAAGCTGGACTTGGTCCTGGGGTTAGTGAGTGGCGCCCTCTCGGGGCAGGCCTGACGTGCTGGTGTGGGGCCAGGGGTCAGGGCTGTGTTTCTCGGCAGAGCATCCGGAGGGTGGACGAGGAGCAGGAGCAGCAGGCTGACATGGAGTTCCTCGTCTACGGCACTCGCGCGTCCAAAGACAAGAGTGGAGCCTACCTCTTCCTGCCTGATGGCGAGGCCAAGGTACCCCAAGACTCCTCACAGACCCACAGGCCCTCAGGGCCATACTGATGGGAGTCCACAAGGAGGGCATGGGCCTTCCTCCAGGGTGATCACTGCCTACTGGGGACAGAGTGAGCGGGGCCAGAGCCTACTGGCAGTGAGCACAGACGGCCCCGACTTGCCATGCTTCCACTGCAGCTTTGTCACTTTCTAGTGATGCAAGCCATTCATATTCAGCACAGCCATTCTCTCCCGCTTTCAGTTCAGTGTCCTGTGAGCGCTGTGAGGCATTCGACACTTCATTGTGAGTAGGTCTTGCATTAGCAACTCTGCCCAACCTCAGGCTGATGCGAGTGCCCCGAGCCATCAGGGTGGTCAGGGCTCAGCCAGGGTGTTCGGTCGGTTGGTTAGTGGCATTCAGCGCGCTTTTGACCAATAATGTTTGCAGTTCCAGAGGTGGCAGAGGAGCGTCTGCACTTCTGTCTCCCAGCTCCAAGCCAGCACCTTCCTGCTTTGCTGTCTGGGCTGTGGGCTGAGCGCCCTCTTTCTCCCCAGCCCTATGTCCCCAAGGAGCCCCCGGTGCTGCGCGTCACGGAAGGCCCTTTCTTCTCAGAGGTGGTTGCATACTACGAGCATGTTCACCAGGTGGTCCGGCTTTATAACCTGCCAGGTGAGCCCCCCCCGGGCTGATGAAAAAGGGGCAGGAAGGGGGCCAGCCAGTGACTGGTACAGTGGGTAAGCAGCTGGATCCCACATGGCCAACTGCATGGTTCGAGTCCCAGACTCGATGGCTTGAGAAACATGCTGGGGGACCAGCAGGTGGTATGATGGCTAAGAGGTACTCTCTTGACTGATCTTGGTTCAAGTCCCAGACCTGGGAGCCTGCTTTCTCATTTTCTCCTCCTCTCTCTCTGTGTGTTTTTGGCTCTTTCTGGTGAGTGCACCTGCCTTATAGCAAAATTTTAAATAATAATAATAAATAAAATCATGTAAATATTATTAAAACAAAAAACTAAAAGAAAAATATGCTGGGAGTATGTGCATGCATCCCCAGAATCCCAAGAGAATGGAGAAGAGATTGCAGAGTGGCCATCCCCTCTGGGGAGTGATTTCTCACCTTCTCTCTCTCTAGGGAGCACATGTACCATATAGCAAATTTGACAAAGTTGTATGAAAATAAAAAAAGGTATGGGCTCCCTGGGCCATGCTGAGCTCATCCTTCCGTCTTGTCTGTCCCTAGCAGATGGGTCACTTGAGACAGAGATGCTTAACCCTCCTGGAGAAAAGAGCATCTCAGAATGCCCTGGGGCCCACTGAGGAGGTCAGCCTAGCCCCTTCCTCAGCCCCGATTTCTCCCCACCTGGTCTCAGGCTCTTCCTCCCGCTCTGTTTCTGTGCCAGGAGTGGAGGGGCTGTCCCTGGAGATGTCCTCCCTGGTGGACATCCGAGACTACATCAACAAAGAACTGGCCCTGCGCATCCGTACGGACATCGACAGCCAGGGTACCTTCTTCACAGACCTCAACGGCTTCCAGGTGATCCGTGAGCGAGCCTTAGAGACCCCACGGAGCAGACAGGCATGGGAGGGGTGGTCTGCCTAATGAGGAAAGAGGACTCTGAGGACTCCCAGGCAAGAGCGATCAGGGACCCCATCAGATGTTGGGGGGGACAATGTCACTCACAGTGGCTGGTCTTGTTCTACAGGTGCAACCGCGGCGGTATCTCAAGAAATTGCCCCTGCAAGCCAACTTCTACCCCATGCCAACCATGGCCTACATCCAGGATGGGCAGAAACGCCTCACGCTACACACTGCCCAGGCCCTGGGCGTCTCTAGCCTTGGCAATGGTGAGTAGGGAACGTGAGCTCTTGCAGGAAGCAAGCGGAGCGCCCCCTCCACCCTGCCTCCTTCCTGTCTGCTCATTCACAGCCCCACCAGCCCCACATAGGCACCTGCTGTCACCCTCTCCCTGGTGCCGGCAGTTGGTTAGTGAGGGCGTCCTCGGGTGCCTGCAGGAAGCATCAGAGTGTTGAATGTTGATTCTCAGTGGAGACATGCAACCCCCTTCTCCTGTCCAGGCGTGAGAGTAGATTCTGTTTGGAAAGTACATGACATGCTATGTAGGTTTTTGTTTTTTGGTTTTTTTTTTTTAAGCTTACTATTTTTAAAAATTTCCTGTAAGGCACATGCACTTGCCAGAGAGAGACAGAGAGGGAAAGTGAGAAATCACTCCAGAGGAGGGGATGACCACATGGCAGTCCCTTCTCCATTCTCCTTTTGGGATTTCGGGCATGTTTTTCTCTTCTTTCCTTTTTTAAAAATAATTATTTTATTTATTGTTATTATAGTCCCAGACTCGATGGCTTGAGAAACATGCTGGGGGACCAGCAGGTGGTATGATGGCTAAGAGGTACTCTCTTGACTGATCTTGGTTCAAGTCCCAGACCTGGGAGCCTGCTTTCTCATTTTCTCCTCCTCTCTCTCTGTGTGTTTTTGGCTCTTTCTGGTGAGTGCACCTGCCTTATAGCAAAATTTTAAATAATAATAATAAATAAAATCATGTAAATATTATTAAAACAAAAAACTAAAAGAAAAATATGCTGGGAGTATGTGCATGCATCCCCAGAATCCCAAGAGAATGGAGAAGAGATTGCAGAGTGGCCATCCCCTCTGGGGAGTGATTTCTCACCTTCTCTCTCTCTAGGGAGCACATGTACCATATAGCAAATTTGACAAAGTTGTATGAAAATAAAAAAAGGTATGGGCTCCCTGGGCCATGCTGAGCTCATCCTTCCGTCTTGTCTGTCCCTAGCAGATGGGTCACTTGAGACAGAGATGCTTAACCCTCCTGGAGAAAAGAGCATCTCAGAATGCCCTGGGGCCCACTGAGGAGGTCAGCCTAGCCCCTTCCTCAGCCCCGATTTCTCCCCACCTGGTCTCAGGCTCTTCCTCCCGCTCTGTTTCTGTGCCAGGAGTGGAGGGGCTGTCCCTGGACATGTCCTCCCTGGTGGACATCCGAGACTACATCAACAAAGAACTGGCCCTGCGCATCCGTACGGACATCGACAGCCAGGGCACCTTCTTCACAGACCTCAACGGCTTCCAGGTGATCCGTGAGCGAGCCTTAGAGACCCCACGGAGCAGACAGGCATGGGAGGGGTGGTCTGCCTAATGAGGAAAGAGGACTCTGAGGACTCCCAGGCAAGAGCGATCAGGGACCCCATCAGATGTTGGGGGGGACAATGTCACTCACAGTGGCTGGTCTTGTTCTACAGGTGCAACCGCGGCGGTATCTCAAGAAATTGCCCCTGCAAGCCAACTTCTACCCCATGCCAACCATGGCCTACATCCAGGATGGGCAGAAACGCCTCACGCTACACACTGCCCAGGCCCTGGGCGTCTCTAGCCTTGGCAATGGTGAGTAGGGAACGTGAGCTCTTGCAGGAAGCAAGCGGAGCGCCCCCTCCACCCTGCCTCCTTCCTGTCTGCTCATTCACAGCCCCACCAGCCCCACATAGGCACCTGCTGTCACCCTCTCCCTGGTGCCGGCAGTTGGTTAGTGAGGGCGTCCTCGGGTGCCTGCAGGAAGCATCAGAGTGTTGAATGTTGATTCTCAGTGGAGACATGCAACCCCCTTCTCCTGTCCAGGCGTGAGAGTAGATTCTGTTTGGAAAGTACATGACATGCTATGTAGGTTTTTGTTTTTTGGTTTTTTTTTTTTAAGCTTACTATTTTTAAAAATTTCCTGTAAGGCACATGCACTTGCCAGAGAGAGACAGAGAGGGAAAGTGAGAAATCACTCCAGAGGAGGGGATGACCACATGGCAGTCCCTTCTCCATTCTCCTTTTGGGATTTCGGGCATGTTTTTCTCTTCTTTCCTTTTTTAAAAATAATTATTTTATTTATTGTTATTATTTTTTCTTTTTTTGGAGAGGTTTTTGCTACAGGGCACATGCGCTCACCAGACAGACAACAGACAGGAAAAAGAAAGCGAGAAATCCCCCCCCGGGGGGATGGCCATGCCGCAATCCCTTCTCCTCCATTCTCTTCTTGGGATCTTGGGCACACACACACACACGCCCGGCATGAGTTTTAAGCCACCGGGTTCGGGACACGAACTGCGGTCAACTATATGGGAGTCCAGTGACACAGCCATTACGCTAACTGCTGGTCCCAGTTATTATTATTTTTAATTTGACCAGAGAGAGAGAGAAGGTAAGTGAGAAAGAAAGGTGCCAGGTCCAGGACTCACACTGCAGCCAGCCACTTGGGAGTCCAATGCCTCAGCTACCATGCCACCTGCCACCCCTCCCCACCTGTATCCCCCTGGCATGTTTTTCAAGCCACCAGGTCCAGGACTCAAACCACACGGTCAGTAATGTGGGACCCAGCCACCTTAACCACCATGCCACCAGCTGGTCCATAAGCTTATTCTGTTTTCCATGCACCCACGTAATTGAGAGGCAGATAGTACCCCCAACAGGGGCCCAAGTCCATGATCCACCCCGCAGCCTCAGCCAGCTGTGGGACCTGGGCACATGTGCATCTCGCCGACTCTGGGAAGTGTCTACATGTGAATTGGCAACCTTCCCACGTGGGTCGGCCTCGCAGTGTCGAGTTTGCCACGGCACCTCCGTCCAGCCCCAACACTCCATGTTCAAATGAAACACTTAGGAAAGGAGAAAAATACATCTCGCTTCATACTAATGGTCATTAGGAGGGCCGTGGGCGTGAGAGCGCTGGCCTGGAAGCAGGTCTGGCCAGCCGCTCACTAGGAAGGCTCAGGTAGCCCCATGTCCTCAGGGCACGATAAATGGTTCAGTCTGGGCGGCCCCTGAGGCCATTGAGATCGGCCTGTGGAACGGAGCCTGTGAGGACTGAGCTGAGGGTGCCCTGCCGTGGCCGAGCATGGGCCAGGGTGAGTGCAGGCCGACTCTGCAGGGAGGAGTGTGGCCTCTCTGCTCCTTTCTGCAGGAGCAGCTTGGAGTCTCTCAGCCTTCCGCCTCCTGATTGCAGCCCAGTGACCCCGCATGTCATCTCTGTCCCTCTGGGAAGCGGTGTAGAAATGGGAATCGTCTTGGGTGTTGGGGCCCCCTCCTGTGACTGCGCGGGGATGGAGGGCCACGGAGCTGCGGAAGGGAGAGCCAGGGCTGGGAGACAAGGGCAGATGGGACGTCTGAGTGGGAGACACTGGCCTGGGCTCCCCTCAGGATCCTGTGGGAAAACAGGATGGGCAAATGCCATCTGACCTGTGTCAGCTTAGCAGTGAGCCCCTTCCCTGGGCACATTCTGGGAACTGGGACCCAGCAGTTACTCACCTGGACCCCCACAGGAAAGGCTTGGGGGTGCCTCCTGCGGCCTCCCTTCCCTTGGGCACTGGGGAAGGGAACTGGGACCCAGCAGTTACTCACCTGGACCCCCACAGGGAAAGGCTTGGGGGTGCCTCCTGCGGCCTCCCTGAGTGCTGGTCCAGTCAGCCGAGACCCTGTCCAGGTGCCCTACCCTCCCTCTCTGCTTCCCTCTTTCTCCCTCTCCCTCCCTACCCACTTCCTTCCTTTCTCTCTTCTACCCTCTCCCCTCTCCTCTCCCTTTCCTTCCCTTTCTTTTATCTTCTCTCCCTCTTTTTGTCTTGGAAGAAATACATACAGTCTTTTTTTTGGAGGGGAGAGTTTTTTGCCATAGGGTACGCACACTTGCCAGAAAGAGACAGAGACAGAAAGCGAGAAATCATTCCCTCCTGGGCGTGGGGGGGGGGATGGCCACACCCCACAATCCCTTCTCCATTCTCCTCTTGGGATTTGGGGCATGCACGCACACGAAACCTGGCATGTGCTTAAGGCACTGGGTCCAGGACTCCAACTGCGGTCGACTACATGGGAGTCCAGCGACGTAGCCATTGCGCCATCTGCTGGTCCCCACTCTTTTTTTGTTGTTGTTGTTTTATTTAAGAATTATGTTATTGGTGCTGGCAGATGGCGTGGTGGTTAAGGGCACTGGACTCCCACATGGCCAACCATGGTTCGAGTCCTGGACCTGGCGGCCCACTTTCTCACTTTCTAGGGAAAGTGAGAAAGCAAGCTACCAGGTCTGGGACTCAAGCCACAGCCAGCCATGTGGGAGTCCAGTGCTGTAACCACCATACCATCTGCTGGCCCCACTAAATTTTTTTTTTTTAAAGGAGTTATTTTATTGAACTTTATTTATTTTTAATTTGACCAGAGAGGGAAAGCAAGAAAACAAGCTGCCAGGTCTGGCATTTGAACTGCAGCGGGCCATGTGGGAGTCCCGTGCCCCTAACCACCACGCCACTTTAATTAAAAGTGAAAATAATGTGGCCAGTCACATGATCTGGTGGTGAAGGGATCCGAATCCCACAGGGCTGACTGCGTGGTTCTGGTCCTGTCCCTGGTGACTTGAGGAACACAGTGTGTGTGTTTGTACTGCACATGTGCATACCCTGAAGAGGAGGTCAGGGAGGGAACTGCAACCTGACCGTGGCCCATTCAGGGGTGCTTTGCCCACTCCCTCTTTCTCTGTCTTCGCCTCTCTGGTGAGCACATACATTCTCTGGCAAACTAAAAAAGTGTGGGACCAGCAGATGGAGTAACAGTTATATCGCTGGACTCCCACGTAGTCGACCACTGTTCAAGTCCTAGACCTGGCAGCTTAAAACACGCAGAGTGCGTATGCCTGCCTACCCAAAATCCTGATAGCAGAATGCAGGAGGAGGGATTGCTATGTAGTTAATTCCCCCCCGGGGGGAGGGTGATTTCTCGCTGTCTGTCTGTCTCTGTCTCTCTGGCGAGCACACGCGCCCTCTAGCAAACATCTCTTGATTTTTCTCTCACAAGAGAGACAAGTGAAAAAGAATGCAAGCAGAGTGCGTATGCCTGCCTACCCAAAATCCTGATAGCAGAATGCAGGAGGAGGGATTGCTATGTAGTTAATTCCCCCCCGGGGGGAGGGTGATTTCTCGCTGTCTGTCTGTCTCTGTCTCTCTGGCGAGCACACGCGCCCTCTAGCAAACATCTCTTGATTTTTCTCTCACAAGAGAGACAAGTGAAAAAGAATGCAAAGGTGGTCATCCATCACCTCTTTTCCCTGGGCGACATCAGATGACCCCTAACTTGGGCCTCTGCATGCTCTGCCATGGCAGTTCTGTCCACAGCTCCACATTCAGTGGATGAGGCTGTCAGGGATTGGATCTGGGCTTTCAGTCCCTGTTAAAACAGTACAGGAGAGCATGTGTTTCTGCCACACTAAAATCCGCCCAGGGGCGTAGTGGTTAAGGCAACTGGATCCCACATGGCTGACCAACATGATTCGAATCCACCCAGGACTGGTGACCCTGCCCCATGAGGGGTGCTTCTCTTCTCACTCTCAGTCTCTGGCAAGTGCACGCACCTTTGATCTAAAAAAAAAAAGAGAGAGAAAACAGTCTGCCCAACCTGGTGAAGCTGCCCTTAGGGAGTCTGCAACAACACCAGACAGCTGTTGATCTCCGTGTTCTGCTGGCTGGTTTGTATTTTGAGGTGGGGAGTCCGTCTGGGTGTGGTTTCCTGCCTGGGCTCCCAGCGAGCCTCACCCCTGGGCCACAGAACACGGGCCATAGATCCACCCCAGGCTCAGCCTTCCCTTCCTGGGCCTCTTGTTTCCTGGCCCTCAGCGGCCATGCTTCTCTGGGATTCTAACATCTTTCTCACCGGGTGGCCAAGCTCCTGTCCCCCTTGCTGGGCCCGTGGTAGGGATTCTGTTCGCAGGGCACTGTCTGCCTGGGGTGGGGGCGGCAGGCTGGGGCTCACAGTCCCTCTCCCCAGGCCAGCTGGAGGTGATCTTGGACCGGCGACTCATGCAAGATGACAACCGCGGCCTCGGCCAGGGGCTCAAGGACAACAAGAAGACCTGCAGCCGTGTGCGCCTCCTGCTGGAACGGCGGACCTCAGGCAGCGAGGTAAAGTCTGGGCCTGGTGCCCAGCAAGCCAGGTCAGGCGGGTCCCTGGGCGGCCCTCGGGTTCTAGCCGAGGGCTCGAGAGGGATTGCAGCCAAAGGTGGGCGAGGGAGAGCAAGCAGGGCTTTGTTCCTGGGCCACAGGGAGGCCGGGGCGTTGGCCAGCCCTCTCCGTGGCCCAGCACCTCCGTCTCCCATGGCACCCTGTGGCCGTGCCCCTCACCTGCCTTCCTCTGTGCCCTGCTCTGCCCTCCCCCCTGCGCCTCCTGTCCATCTCCTCCATGCCCGCTCATATGGCTTTCTCTGCCCCCACTAGCCTGGCTTTTTCTCCAAAATGGCAGCCATGTTTAGGGGCTCGATCTTCCTCAGCAGCAGCCAGAGTGACCAAGAGGTAAGGGTCAGTGATGGGCAGCCACCTGGTGTGAACCAGCTGTGGCTGCAGGGGGCGCCTGTGGTAACAGAGCCTGCCACAGCTCTACCCACACCTGGGGCTCAGCCCCTCCTCAGTATCTACACGTACCTGCTGAGGCATAGGGACCAGAGGGGCAGAGATGCAAACCACACCAGCCCTACCAGGAACATCCTCTTGGGCGGGTCTGGGGGTCCACTTAGTGTGTACGAGGACACAGTAGAAAGGACGTGTCTCACTGGTCCTGAGTAGCAGGACAGCATTGTGGACAAGGGGATCAAGGACAGCTTCCTGGAGGAGGTGTTATTCAAAGCTCTGCCTGGATGAATGAGAATTTTTTTTACATTTTTGTCATGGAGCATATGCACTTGCTAGGGAGAGGGAGAAAATGAGAACCCACACAGGGAGGAAGGCCACATCCCAATCCCTTCTCTGTTCTCTTGGGATTTTGGGGGCGACACACATGCACATACATCCAACGTGTTTTTCACAGCCCTGGGTCTGGGACTGAAACTGTGAAGTCAGCCATGTGGGATCCAGCCACCTGACTACTGCGCCACCTGCTGGCCCAGGGGTGTGATTTAAACACGTGAACCGGGACCAGCAGTTGGCGTAATGGCTGTGACGCTGGACTCCCATGTAGTTGACCGCGGTTCGAGCCCCGGACCCTGTGGCTTAAACTTAGCCGGGCATATGTGCATGTGTGCCCAAGATCCCGAGAGGAGAGTGGAGGAGAAGGGATCGTGGCATGACCATCCCCCCTGGGGGATGATTTCTCGCTTTCTGTCTCTCTGTCTCTCTCTGTCTTTCTGGTGAGCTCACACGCCCTATAGCAAAAACCTCTCCCCCACAAACAAAATAAATAAACATGTGAGCCAGGGCACAGGGCAGGAGGCAGGAACGAGTATGAACGGAATAGCCGTGGGTTCATTGCGTCAGAGGAGAGCCAAGACCGGGCTGTCCAGTGTGGTTGCCATGAGCTGCAAATAGCTAAGAAGATATAAAGTGAAAGACTTGGTTTTTCCCCCTTGCTGGCCACGTGTTGAGTAGTTGCTTGCCGCTGGCGACTACTGTGGTAAACAGTTTGGATGCAGTGTCCTCCTTTTATAGCAGAAAGACCCTCTGGCCAGTGCTGGGCCCCAGTGCAAAGAGGGGTACGAGGCAGACCACAGGGGCCACGCATGTCTGGCCAAGTTTGAACTTGATTCTGGAGCCCAGGGAGGTGTCTGGGCTGTTGGGACTCTGTCAGTGTGACAGCAGATAGCAGGCTGGGTCTAGCAAAAGGAGCCTAGAGACAGATGACAGTTCAAAGCTGGTCAAGCCGGAAGTGTGGGCGGGAGAAGCCGAGGTGGCTGTGAGGGTGTGGCAGGGGTGGGCAGAGTCGGAGTCAGAAGATCAGAGTGAAGGAATGGATTCTGGGCATTTGGGAGGAGAGTGGCACGCGGGGCAGAAACCCAGAGTACAGATACACAGCAGTTTTGGGGGACAGTGGCACTTGGGCCTCTGAGTGCCAAATCCAGGAGGGACAGCTAGTGGGCCTCAGCGGGTAGAGCCACGGGCATGCCAGGCCAGCACTGTGGAACCACAGGACTACTGGGGCCATCTGTCATAGGCCCACACGCCATGCTGAAGCCTGCGTCCCCCTGTCTACCGCTCTCCTCCCTGCACCCAGAGTCTCTGTGATGGGGTGTCACTGAGGAGGGTGTGGCACACATAGTATAATAAAAACAAAACAAACAAAAAAAAAAAACAAGGGGCGAGCAGGTGGCATGGCGGTTGAAGTGCTGGACTCCCACATGGCCGTCCGTGGTTTGAGTCCTGTATATGGTGGCTTGCCTTTCTCACTCTCCCTCTCTGTCTCTGTCTGGTCAAATTGAAAAATAATAATTAATTAATTATGGGACCAGCAGTTGGCGTAATGGCTGTGTTGCTGGATTCCCATGTGGTTGACTACGGTTCGAGTCCCGGACCCAGTGGCTTAAACTCACACCGGGCGCATGTACGTGTGTGCCCAGGATCCCGAGAGGAGAGTGGAGGAGATGTGATTGTGGCATGGCCATCTCCCTGGGAGATGATTTCTTGCTTTCTGTCTCTGTTTCTCTCTGTCTTTCTGGCGAGTGCACGTGCCCTATAGCGGAAACCTCTCCAAAAAAAGAAAAAATAAATAAATAACTAAATAAAAATAAATAATTAATTCTTTTTAAAAAAAGAAAAAAATAAAACAGGTAATAGCCTAGTGACTTAGCCCTTCCGAGGCAGGTGAGATGGTAGTGGCCACACTCGGAGGGTTGGGAGATGCAGCCCAGCTCTCCGTGAACCCAGACATGCCAGGAATGCTCCTTCCAGGGGAACTTCCAGGCTGAACTTCCGTGCAGCCCTGCCCCACCCTCACCCCCAGCCTGGCTCCCCGTGCTCACCCACATCTCGGGCCCCACTTGCAGGTCCAAGACAGCCGTGCTCCCAGCTACCCATCCCTCCTCAGCCACCTGACCTCCATGTACCTGAACACCCCAGTGCTTGCCCTGCCTGTGGCCAACAGGCAGCCACCAGGCCCTGTTCTCCGCTCCTTCCATCCTCTGGCCTCCCCTCTGCCCTGCGACTTCCA